GCCCTCGGGGCTGGCCACCCCGTGAGCATCCCCGCTGGGTTCCTGCCAGCATCCGGGTCAGGGGCGCGCGGGGCGGACTCGGTGTCACGGGCCCTAGGGACGAGCTGCAGGCGGACGATGGAGGGAGCGGCCAGCGTCGGGGAGGACGTGTCCACAAAAGGGAAACGGCTGCTCTGAACCAAAGTGGGACAAGAGCGCATGGGTTTCAGCACACCGTGTACCCAGCCATGCAGCCCAGGGTGGGGCCCTCTGCGCCTGCCAGCCCTGTTTGCTCTCCCTCCTATCCAGGACCATGGACTGAGCTCCACAAACTGTTCCTGCCTGCCCCAAGGGAGCCCAAGTCCTGGGCACAACCCCGGCACCAAACAGCTTCTGAGTCTCAGCGCTCCGTTGGTGCGGAACTGCCCCCCGAAGCTGCTGGGCAGCAGTTTCCGCTGCCCCGGGGTGCTCCGGGCCCCAGGCAGCCCCGGTGGCTGGACCCGCTCTCCAGCCTGGAGCCGGCAGGTGCAGCACCTCCAACGCATCCATCGCACCCGGCCCCACAGCAGCCCGGGCGGCTCCAGGCCCACTTGGCACCTGCAGCGAGAGCCGGGGGGCAGAGCTGACAGGAGGGGACAGGGGCTGGGCAGCAGGCGAGGGAGGGAGGGAGGGAGGGAGGGAGGCAGAGGCTCCCCAGGAGGACAGAGGGGGAGGATGGCCCCATCCATCAGGGGGGCAGCAGGGGACAGAGGAAGACAGGAGGAGAGAGAGATTATTTCAAGCACGAGTGTTTTACTGTTAGTCTCGGGTTCTTGATGCCATTCCCAGCCCTCAGCTGTGACGCCAACATCCGACCCCAAAACTGGCTGCTGGGAGGCACGGGGCAGGGAGAGGGATTCCTGCCTATAGAGAGACTAACGCTGCCCTGCTGCTTCCCAGCCCCAGGAATCACCTCCCGGAGCAGGACAAGGGCCGCAGGCCCCCCCAGCCGGGCTCACAGCACAGGGGCGCCCAGCACTGCTCCTCACCGCCTGCTTCACCCCGCGCCTCGCTGGCCATTGCCAGGTATAGCCCAGCTTCCACAGACATTCCCATCCTATCTGCTTCCTGGGACACAGCCCCACTGGGCTGTGGGGACACCCAGTCCCTTTGGATCAGTGAGGGGCTCAAGGGCAGCCACGAGCCCCTGCCCCATCCCGGCACATGGGGGATGCAGGAGCCTCGGGCACTGTCCCCCACAAAGTGCCCTGTGAGCCGCGCACGCTGCCCCAGGGCCAGGGGGTGCCCAGGACCTGCGACATCACGCAGGGCAGGAGAGGGGACAATGAGCACTGCTGGGGGCAGGGGCATAGGGACAACTTGGGGGGGTCAGGGATGGCACTCAGGGAAGGATGGAGAAAAGCAGGTGCCACCAAGGGAGAACAGGGACAGCGGGTGCTGCTCAGAGAGAGGATGGGGACAGCAGACACTGCTTGGTCAGGACGGGGAGACCAGGCACCACCACACAGGACAGCGACAGTGGGCAGCACTAGGAGGGAGGATGGGGACAGCGGGTGCCACAGGGATAGGATGGGGACAGCAGCAGCACTTGGGTAGGTTGGAACAGTGGCAGCACTGGGCAGGATGGGGACAGCGGCAGTGCCCAGGGAGAGGACAGGACAGGGGCAGCATTGGGCAGGATGGGGACAGCGGCAGCGCAGGGAGCAGGGCTGGGTCTCACCGGAGCTGTGGCGGAGGGGCGGCCCGGGGGGGCGGTGCGGGCCCAGCTGCCCCCAGAACAGGCTCCGGGCCAGGCAGCGCCCCAGGGAGCCCATGGCGGGGCCGGCGGGGGCAGGTCGTGGAACCGCTGCCTGCCCTGAGCACCCCGGCCCGAGCACCCTGGCATGGGCAGAGCCGCGCGGAGCAGCCCGGCGCGCCGCTGCAGGGAGCGGGGCAGAGCTGGTGCATCTTCACACCGAGCATCCCCAGCCCATGTGCAACCCTTAGCCTGGCGCATCCTGGCACGGAGCATCCTGGCATGGAGCATCTCAGCATGGAGCAGGCTGGCCTGGAGAGCTCCAAGGCAGAGGCAGGAGGGTGCCCAGCCCCTGGGTGCTGCGAGTGACGGGACCCGCAGGACCGTGGGCACCCCAGAGCACCGGGAGCAGCGCCCAGCACCAGGACTCAGGAAACAGAGGAATTTCATGGTTTGCTCCTGGCTCAGCACCTGCCGGGCCAGGGTGCCTTTATGCCTAGGACTTGCTTCAAGGTGGCAGTAGGCCCTGTCTGAGACGACTGGCACAGGAGAAAATTTTCTCTACACAGCAAGGGCCAAATGGCCCTTTGCAGTTCTGGCGCAAGGGGTTGCAGGTTGCAACGTCCAGGCTTGGACACCTTCCAAACTGCTGCCCTTGATCAGCAAGTCAGCAAGGGAAAAACACGCACTTTCACCTTGTATTAGCAAACTAACAAGATCGACCCATAATTTTGCAAGAAACGGAGCCATCACCAGCCTGTAGAGCCCTGCTCAGAGCAGGGTGGCACCACTAACGGCTGAGTGGCTCGAGCTCAGCTGTTCTTGGGGATCAAGTCCCTTCCTGCCCCAACCTCAGAGGCCACGCGACCACCCTGTGGAGGGACCTGCTCAGTCTGCAGAAACACCCGAGGTAGCTGAGGTCCCGGGGCCGGGACAAGGCCAGCACCTGGTGTGGTGAGACATGCACCAGATTTGTTCTTGAAAGAGCCTTCTTCACCTCACGCAGGCTGTGTCAGAGCGGCAAGAGACCCAACTCGCACAGGGCCGGCAGGCCAGCGAGAGCCACCCTGCTCCCTGTCTAGAGACCCAGCTGCTCTGCAGGGGCCCCTGCATGGCAGTGCTCAGAGATCTCTTCACAAGAGGTGGTTCGGAGGTGATCTTATCGCTCTCCACAGCTACCTCAATGGAGGCTGCAGTGAGGCAGGGGTTGATGCCTTCTCCAGAATAACTACGGGTAGGACCAGAGGAAGTGGCCTCAAGTTGCACCAGGGGAGGTCAAGTTAGACCTGAGGAAGAATTTCTACATGGCAGGAGTAGTCAAGCATTGAAACAGGTTGCCCAAGGAAGTGGTGGAGTCACCATCCCTGACAGTGCTCAAGAAAAAGGTAGATGAGGCACATGGGGACAGGGTTGGAAGGTATGGTGTTGCAGGTCTTTTCCAACCATAATAATTCTATGATTCTAAGATTATTTTTCCCCTCAGTTAAAGGATAACCACCCTCTCCAAGCTGATGGTCCCACAGCTCTCAGATCTCTGCAGAGAGCAGTTCACGCAGCTCGGCTGTGTGGACTTGGTTCATGTGCATCTTCCCA